GCCCAGCCGTGTGCGGTTCCTGCCGCCAGTGAAGCACACGCACCACAGAGTTTCAGCTCCAGAACTGCAGAACGGTTTCCAGAGAGTTCATGTCACTTTGGGGGTTTTAATGGAGCTGTAGAGAGAACGGTGTGAGCTTCCAGAAAACACTGATGAGGGAGCCTGCATCCACCACTCTTTACAAAGAAAAGCAAAAATTTTATATCTAGTAACATCTTTTTTCTGCTGTTATAGACACCAAAACGTCAGCATTGAAATACCTAGTTTCAGGCTGAGATGTTCCCACTGCTTGGTTCTTATGTGCTATCATTCAGAGATATTTATTTCATGTAAATACGTGCTTAGTCTGGAAAGTGATGTTTCCAAAGTGGTGCTGTTACATATCTTCAACAGAGAAAGATTAAATTGCTTTAAGGAAAACTGTTAACTGGGAACTAATAAACCTATTAAGAGTAGTCATCTTTGAGCTTTTGTAGGGCAACAATAGCTCTCTATTTGCTAGAAATTTGAAAGCGGGTGGTAAGGGGTTACAGCTTAAGAGCTCTGCAGATGCAGAGCTGAATGTGTGGAACAAGGTAAGGAGTAATACTGCTGTTCACCTGAGGTTACTCAAGCAAGCCTTTACACAGCCCGGGAGGAAAAAAGCTTGACTGCATTGTTTGGCGATCTGACACGTTTTCTTTCATCATGAGCTTCCCCTGGGGAAAATGGATGACAGGATTGCTCTGTCAGCAAACAAGTCGTATGGCTGCTCCCCACTTAGGAAAGGCATCACGAGAGGAAATCATACTTAGTTCAAGGAGTTGGGAGGTTGCTTTATAATTCTTTTTTTGGTTTTGACAGCGGCTCCCATCAGGGAAACTGGCTCAAAGACTTGCCATGAAATGCCCTGGACCTCCAGAGAGCTCGAGACTTGCCTGCTTCCTGGAAAATGCCTTAGCGAGAGAGGCTAGGATTTGGAAAGTGCCGGTTTTCCAGAATCTCACCCTGAAGGTATTTCCCCTTGTCCTCTTTGGAAGTTCCTAAGGGACTCTGCAGAGATGTAGTGCTGGTCCTGCCATCTAATCCACCTGAATGCAAAGTCATCCCACATGGAATAAGCTTAAGGAACAGAGGGGGAGGAAGGTCTGTGTTTGTCCCATCTTACTTCTGAGTAATGCCCCATGTAAACCAGGTGCTTTGTATTTTGTTTTAAGTAGTTTTGGGAAATCTACTGGAGCAGGTAAGAGCAGACAACTGATGGTAAAGCCATAAATACGTCATGTTAGGGTTAATTTTGCTCAACACCATCTTTGAGTCCCTTCTGCTCAGATAGGAGAAGAGGGAATTCACTGAGGCCCAGCCCCATTCCCAGCTGCTAAAGCGAGTCAGTCTGCTGCCTTAGGAAGCCACAACACTTACCGGCCCCCTGTGTACAGTGGAAACAGTTACACTCAGCTGCTTCTGTAAAGTGCATCAGATCCATGGAAGTATGCACAAAAGTGCCCTGCCAGCTTTGTCTCTGTTTTGCAATAGTGTAGAAATGCTATTTTTTTTTACTAAGTATTTTTACTACCAAATAAAGCAAAACAGTGAAACGGATAATGTGATGAGTAATATTAAACAAACTGGTGGTAAATGTTGTCTGTTCTGTAGCTGCTCAGCTCTTTCAGTTCTCCTACAGTAACGTTCAAATGCGTGCCACGGGTTATGTGTGGCATTGCAATGGCAGCCAGAGTAAAGTCCTTCCTCTTACCTGAATGCATCTTTAAATAAGATATAAGAAAGAAAAAACTGAGTACGTTTTGCCTTCTGCCTTGGGGGAGTCATACACCTGGCTTCTGTGGTCCCAAGGCTAAGCAAACTCAAGGGCTGTGAAATAAGAAATCTTGGGGAGTAAATCAAAACCTGCTCCTGACTCTAGTTTCTCTCTCCCTGTTGAAACAGATGCTGCATTGGAGGGTTCAGTCATCTCTGGAGGGGGAAGTAATGAGCACACTCAGCACCTCCTTTGTAGGAGCTCAGCTGGGTGGTTCAGCTGTGCAAGGGGAGGGCTGGGTGCTGCCCTATTCGGAGCTCTACCAAATTCCAGTACCAGGCCCCTGTAAGCACAGCTAGAGCCTGACTGGGTGGGCAACACGGATGAGTGCTTTAAACTGCTCCGAAACTTGCCCTTGCCCTCACCCTGTAGACACAGCTGACAACTTTCTTCATTCCAGGCCTTCAGACATCTGAAATGTTAATTGGAGCACTTAGAATGATTTGAGTCTTCCTTTGGAGATATGTTAACAAAATCATCAAAGCACTAACTGTATTTTTCTTCTAACTTTTTCTTCCCCTCAGGGCACAGATATCTCTCTGTCGTGTTACAAGAAAGTGGTTCTCTGGATTGCAGAAATAAGCTCTCAGTTCCAGTTTTACCCTGAAACGTTTGCCTTAGCTACCAGCATCCTTAACCGGTTATTGGCATCAGTAAAGGTAGAGAATCAGCTTTTTCCTGGCTAGATTACTGATTGGGGATGTAAGGAGTATATAATCAGTTTATACACAAAGCAGGTACTATGTTTGGCAGCAGATTTAGGGAGCAGTTGGGGTCTTTGCTGGGGAAGGCTTTTAAGCACATACATGTCAATTGGAGTGCTTGATGAGGTTCCACTGATTTACAGTCCTCAGTATAAGTGTTTGTGTGAATTGTGGTCCAAATGCTGTGATAAGCACAAGGAATTCGTTATCATCTGGTTGTCTCTGCTAATCAGAAAACATTTGCATTATCACTTTTAATATTTTAGTTTTGAAAGTGCTATTTTTAACCAAACTGTGGGGCCAACTTTTTCTGCCATTGAAGCAAGAGCAAAGTTACGAGTTGCACTGGGCCTTGCAGCTCTCAATTCTATTTAGATCGATACTTGCATTTGGCAAAAGCATATTAATTAGTATCTCAGCTGAGAAGAGGAGTGGCATCGCATTGTAAATACTGTGGCATTGCACAGTCTTAAAATTGTGGGATGCATGAATAAAAACTGCACCAAGAGCAGGATTTACTTTGTTTCACTTTGGCTTTCCTTGCTGTTTCCAGCTTCAGATGATTATTTCTGCAGCTAAACTAATTCAGAAGCAACTGTAACTTAATGAAAGTTTGAAATTTGTGCTTCTGTCGTAGCATGACAATTATTTCCCCTAAGACTCTTATCTTCTTTGCTCAGTGTTTTCTTCTTCTCCCTTCAGGCCCAATTAAAATACCTTCGGTGCATAGCAATTTCCTGCCTTGTTCTTGCAGCAAAAACCAATGAAGAAGATGAGGTCTGTATGTTTAGTTTTAAACACACTAAACTCACCTCTTGTGTTCAAGTAGTTCACGTTTCTAGGTCTTTCAGCAACTTGGGTATAACGAGATGTTAATACTAAACTCACCTCTTGTGTTCAAGTAGTTCATGTTTCTAGGTCTTTCAGCAACTTGGGCATAACGAGATGTTAACTTGTCTACCCAAAGTAGTCCTCTAAGGGGTGACAGTAACATTTTTAGTCCTCTTTCATCATTGTTCGGAAGAATTGTGACCTTCATGGATGAAGGACTTGTGTCTGCTCATGTAATGGATGCCTTTCCCTCCTCCTGCCCTTAAACCTCTCCTTTTCAGAATCCACGGCTCGCAGTAAGGCTTAGTCTGAGGGGAACAGTCAAGATGCAGCTGCACAGCTTTGTGTGCGCACCATCCGAGTGCTGTAATTCCTTGTTAGAGGGCCTGGGAGGGGAAGGTAGGTGAGACAGAACAGAGGTTCTTCAGAGGAAGCTTAAAATAGATGAGTTTGCTTGGAGTTGAAACTGGTTGCTGAACCTCGTGAGGAAATGACTCAGGTCTGCACCTCAAGGTGAGCATGTAAAATCAGCAACTGTCCATGTAAGTGTGAGATTGCACAGGATAATCTCTCATGGCAGAAGTGCACCGATAGACTCTTTCAGTCATTACAAACATGAGCCAAAAGCATTTCCGATTGCCTTTCTCCTCTTTCCTTCATTCTGTTTTGAAAAAGAACAGGAAACCTAGAAGTTGGAGTCAGACATGCATGTCTCTTCGAACAACCTCTGCTGTGGTGAAATGCTCTTCATAGCCTTTCTTAGGATGTGTCACACTGAGGTTATTCTTCTTTTCCCCTCAGCTAAAAAGGAGAAGCTGAGTCAATGACCGCAGGAAACAAGACAACCCCGTAACAGAACGCCCCGTAAAACAGGCCAACAGGAAGCTTCCTCCTCACTTGTTGGAGGAGCAAAACTAATGAGACTGGTAGCAGGGAATGTGCATCACCGATGCAGCATTCAGGGGGCTCACGGTGACCCGGGAGGTGAATGGCTGGTTCGCAGCCAGCTGCCCTGTGACGAGCACAGGCTGGTCTTCATTTCAGATGGGACTTACCTAGGAAAGTGGTCTCCTGAAGGAGCTCAGCACTTTGGGATGTGTTTAAACTTGTCAGATCCCTTCACAATACAGAGAAACACACAGAGCACTGTGTAGGATGTTGGCTTCTTTATTGTTTTTAATTTTTTTTTTTTTTTACAGGTAATACCATCGGTGAAGATGCTCGCAGTGCAGAGTGGTTGTAAACGTTCTCCAGCTGAGATCTTGAGAATGGAAAGAATTATACTAGATAAGCTTCACTGGGATCTTTACACAGCAACACCAATGGATTTCTTAGACATCGTAAGCACTAAGTTTTGCAAATTTTTTTTCTTTAAAGAAACAGCTCCTTATCAAATAAGACTAGAAAACACAGATGCGCACACATACACACACCCACGCATCCTTCCCAAGGTGCTTTGCAAACTACCCATTCGTAGCTATCTGCAAGTCTTTTGAAGAACGTTACAGTGATTTTTTTAAAAATTTTAAGTTTTCTACCATTTAAAACTTCATTTTTGCTCAAAAAATTTACTCCCATCTTTAAAGGACAACTGAAATGGACGTTAAAAAGATTCTCATAATGCACAGCTATATGCCATTTTTATTTTTTTAAATACACACTGCAAAAATATTTCTAACTATTTCCGTTCTATTAATACTGTACATAGAAAGCTGTCAGTTTTGCTACATTTCACACACAGGTTTTCTTTTCTTAAACCATTTGCCTTTTCATCCCACTAATTACTCACCCTTGTTTTAGGCAATGAGACTACCCCAATCTGGCACTTAGTTCACATTGCAGTTACTAAACATTTGATAGAAACAATTAAACTTTATCTTCAAGAAATGATCATGTGCTAGTAAGGCAAAAATCATGTGATACGAACACATCCTGGATCCCTTTTTTAAGGTTATGTGCAAATATTATGCCATCTTGGGCTGCTGATTGTGAAAACTGCCGTTCTTAGGTGCGTGTTTCCTCAGTAAATTCAGAGTGCAGTCATTACTATTGGTTTTACTCTATTCGTATCTGCTGGCCTGAATTGAATCGCCTGGATAGCAATCTGGATAACTTCAGAAATGGTTAGGAAACACAGACCTTTTACATTCATCATAAGCTCAAAAAAACCCAGTTCAATGGTTGGCAAGTACAAACACAAAACACAAAAAAAAAGGGGGGCGGGGAGGAACCCTTTAGGTTTCCTGATAGGAGATGAAATTAGTCTGTACTTCTGGTCGATAACATTTGAAAACATACAAAGTTCACTGACCTCTGCTTTTTTTTTTTTTTTAAAATATGTATATATATACACTTTATCTTCTCTCCAGTTCCATGCCATGGTGATGTCCAACTGCCCCCATCTACTACACGGGCTGCCTCAGATGAATCCTTCCCGCCACGTTGCATTCTTGACCAAACAGCTACAGCACTGTATGGCGTGCCACCAGCTGTTGCAGTTTAAGGGCTCCACATTGGCTTTGGTGATCATCACCTTAGAGCTGGAGAGGCTGACTCCTGATTGGTTTCCTGTTATTACTGATCTGCTAAAAAAAGCACAGGTAGGAATCAAAATGGCCTTTGGTCACAAAGCCTGAGGCCAGGACACCAATAAATTCATAAAGTGCACGTGTATTTACAACCAACATTGCATTATAGTGGACTTCTGAGAAGTGTGTGTTCGTGGTCTGCCTTTGCTGCGGACCTTGCTAGCGCTAACGACAGAGGGAATAAAACCGCATGAAGGGCTGGGCAGAGGGCCTTTCCTGCGGCAGGGGAGGGAGGCGTC